GCGCGGGGCGCGCAGTGCTGGACCCGCCCGTGCGTCGGAGGGGCTGCCAACGCTGTGGGCGCAGCAGCAGCCTCCGGGGCTGCCGCGGAGCGCAAGGACTGCGGCGTGCAGTTCTTCAGGCGGAGCAGAAACCAGCCCTACCCGCACCCCATGCGCTGTGAGTCTGTGAGTGGCGGGAGCCAAGAATTCCAGGTAGCCCCAGGGTCCTCAACCCCCAGAAGCGCTGGCATCTTTTAGGACACACCTGCCGGATGCTCATCTCTTCCCCCTCGCGGGGGACGTCCCGGCCTAGGTGCTTACGGAGGCAGCGAGAACGCCCAGCTTTCAAGACGCCCTTTCTTACTTTCTCCCTTCTAAACTCCTGGGGCCACACTCCCGAGAGGGGGTCAAAACTCAGGCCTGGACACCTGCTGTCCCAGACCCGCTCTCCGCCGGGCGGGGAATGAACTGGCTGGGAAGGACGTAAGTGCGCTTCAGACTCACAGCTGAGAAAGGGGACCTGCGCGATCCCGGGTTCTAGTGCGCCCCAGGGCCTGGAGGCAGCCCCCCGCCGCTGAGACCAGTTCCAGAAGTGGGGGCTTTCCAGTGGCCTGGGATTCCAGCACGCCGGCCCAGAGTTTCGGGGCGAGCTGTGTGACCATTCGGCGAAGGCTACGGTGCGGCCACTAAGTGGCGCGCAGTGCTTGGTCCGCTGCCACTTGGGGCTGCTGTGGCAGCGCGTTTGCGCTCAGGTGCAGACCGCGTCTGCGGACCAACTTCTCTCCCCGAGGCTTTTAGCACATGAACCTTCTGAAATCGTTTGTGCCTGTGTCCGCGATGTGCATTTCTTAAGGTGCTTTCACCCGGGCAACGGTGACCGCAAAATGGTTGAGACACACTGATCTGGAAGCAGATTTTGTGGCCGGGCGCCTGGGGTAGCAGTGCGTGCCTTCAGCCTTCAGAACAGACTTCTATTTCCCACGGTGAAATCTTCGGCGATTACTAACCACTTGCTGATGCTGTGAGGCGCTAACTAGAAGCTGGCCCTAGAGGGCGCTAGTGTAGCCTCCGGCGATTTCAGACCTTACTTTAAAAATCCGTCTCTCCCGAAGAGGGACTGGGATCTACTCATCCTTCAAGCACTTTGTGAGTTTGTAGGAAGTGCCTGGCACTGTGCTGGGACTCAAACAGCCGTTTCTTCAGCAATTAGCACCACGCCAGCACACTAGTGGCGCTCTGTCAACGTTAAATGAATGGAAATTAATTCATTCTGGCAAATTGACTAGTTGGGTCTTGAAAGATTAGCCTGCAGAAAATCCGGACCCAGTTATTCCGCATTTCACTTGCATTTCGAAATTAGGAGCGCAAACTGCTGGCCAGATTCCTCCCATTTCATTCGGCACCCTCAGTAGGTAGACCATTATAGGA